CCCCAAAACCCCAAAACCCCAAAACCCCATGATAATTTTTCAAGAAATTTTTGTAATTTAAATACTTAAAAATGGAGCCAAAGAGCCCCCAAAATATTGGTGCAGGTAAATCAAGCAGTCATGATATGATTTAGAACAGCATAGGAAGATGAATGAAATCCTAGACCAAGAGCTATGATCTTGGAAATATCAACAGGATGTAAAAACTCAGCCAGCCCCTCATAATTATGGACCAACTCCTTTAGACGAAGCAAGTCCAATTCTGATTCACACTGTAAGCTTCTTTTCTTCAATATATTTTGTTCTGAGTTAAATTTTATACAGTACAGTAATCAGAAGCCGCACTTGGATGATCCAACTCTTTGAGAAGTGCTGGGACAAATCTCAACACCAGAAAATGCAGATGCATCAGAATTATTCCCACAAAATAATGAAAATAAGGGAGAATACCGGATCAATCGTCAGCTGTTGCAGGATTATAAATCATCAATCAAGAAAGAGAGGAGCTCAAATGATTTAGAGAACTCTATGAATGACTCTCACATGAGTATCTCCCTAATGCCTAAGAATGAGGAAAGCATCTCACCTACCGGGTATAAGGATGAGAAGCCGAAGCTGACCATGAGCATGCTTACCAAGGATCAACCTGCAAGTTCAGGGTACTCCACTGAGAAGAAGCCTAAAAAGAACTCTACTTATAGTAAAGTTCAGAAAGACCTCAAATAAACTTAAGGCAAAGATCAAGAGATTTGAAAATAAATGTAGCAAGCATTTGGATGAGACAAACACTAAAGATATACACGATATTGAGGAAAATTGCATCCCTGAGTTATCTGAAAATGATGAAACACAGCCATTTGAAAGTCTCCAGAAAGACCATAGTTATGAATTCATTTCTTCTGATGCTAAAGCCATGACCTTTAACAATGATAAAAATGACTTCAAATATAACCTAGAATCTTCAGGAGAGATAAGTTCTCGTAAGAGGTTTCTTAGGAAAGTTCCAACAGAGAGCAGCTTCATGAATCCAACTAAAAGTTCAAAGAAGAGAAGTATTTCCAACAAGAGTACCTTGTTCCTCATCGTTTAGAGAAAATTAGGAAAGTTGTGAGATCAAAGACCTATCGAACACTAAGTTCTACAGATTCTGACAACAGCTTCCAAGAAACGAGCAAGTTTAAGAAAGAGTCTCCTAGAAAGAAGAAGATACCTCTCTCTATAGAAATCTCTTCAGACAGCGAAGATAAAGAAAACAAGGCTACCTTTAGGAATTACAGGGCTATTCTAGAGGATAGGAAGCGAAAAGGTATTCTATTTCGTTTAATCCAATCTAGATCCCCAACACTCCTCATCGAAGAGGAGAAGAGCTACTATGAACAAGTCAAGAGCTACAGCTGTAGCAAACACAACTCTCAATAAATCCAGGTCAAAGTCAAGTAAGAATTCGCTTAAAAAGCTTCTAGAAAAATCCTCAACTAAGCCGATACGCTCTGAATTCGATTGCCTAAAAGCAGAAGTCACCAAGCTCAAATAAAGAGCTTGAGAGAGCAAATAAAAAGTGCAAGAAACTCAAAGAATACAAGACCAAAAATAAGGACCTGACAAAGGTACTCTCAGCGGCTTAACTTTAGGAATTGAGGCTCACCAAATCTTTGCTCAAGAAATCCGAGATGATCAGAAAAAAGCAGAAGGAAGTCTTACTAAAGCACCAAGGAACTTGATAGTTTAAATAGTTAAGCCAACTTTTGGATCTTCAATGTTTAGTTTTACTTAGGCTGGTCATGAAGAAGAACTTTATCAGCAAGAGAAATAAATTCAACTTTGTTTAGAGGAAGTGGGGTTTTGGGGTTTTGGGGTTTTGGGGTTTTGGGGTTTTGGGG